AGCATCCCCGATAATGGCTATCTGTGCACTTGCTCCGAATTTGGCTATCATTGTCAATTTTTTTGGGCTACAATTGGTAAAACTAATTTTGACTAAAATGTTGCTAATATAGGGGTATTATAATTAGCAGTCAAAATTTACAGAAATATGACACTTTTGGGATGATCTTTTAACTTTTGACCGCAGCTTGCCCCATGGGCAGAAATTCAAGGTAACAAGTTAAAAATATTCCCCATGAGACAAGCAAAGGGTTACACTTGTTAAACTTAAAATTTTGCTCATAGAACAAGCGGACAAAAATTCAAGACCATCCACTTTGAGGTTTATTTCTGTGCTTCACCCATTAGTAGTGGACTAGTGGTATATATGTGTCAATATTCCAAACTAAAACGAGGGCTAGTAGTTATGTGGCCCAATGAAACAGCCCAATTAGCTGAATACAGTAAATCGATGATTCTAGAATCCAGATTGTGTTCCGAAGTCTGACGACGACTCTCTCTCTCTATCTCAACTGTTAAAAAATTCTAGTAACCAAAAGCTGAATGAATATATAAAAGGATTGTGAAAAAATGGCATTTTTGAGGTCAATTGTGACTGCAAAAACAACCGCCATTGCTGCTGTTATTCCAGCTGCTGCTTTTGCTGTTTCTTCCATTTCCTCTTCCTCCTCCTCCTCTTCTTCTTCGCACTTCGAACGCTTATCGAAAAATCTAAAATTTGCTTCGAATCCGAATCTCCGATTAAGCTTCGCGAAGAATATAGAAAAATCAAGTCCTCCTTCAGCGCTTCATATGGACGCGCCTTCTTCCAATCACCTAACTTCCGTCGAGGTATAATTTATTCCTCTTGACTCTTTATTTTTCTTAAATTTGTTGAATTCCTCCTAGGCTGATTCAACATACAAGCCGTGGATGCACCGGAACTAATTCGGATATTAAGTGGCGCATTTACTCTACTAGTCTCTTTAAATTTGAGATTCACCTCTATTCCTAAGCCACAACTGCAAACTAGTAATTTGTTTTTTGGTTTGGCAATCAATTGATGTTATAGTTCTAATTCAGTAATGTGATTTTTCGTTTGCAGAATGGTGCCGTCTTGCCTGAGTTACTGGTACGTTCTCCTTTAGGCTTTAGTATATTTTTCTATGTAGTTTTGATTTGAGAGGAAAAAATGAGAAATGAGTTTAACTTATATATGGACAGCGTAAAAGTCACTCAAAAGATATCTTCACCATAAAATATGGGATTTGTAATCCTTAAGATAAGATAGTTCATATAACAGCTAGATGTAATCTGATAGTGTAAAATTTTTTACACCGTAGTGAATATTAGCATATCTGGAACTGTACTATAAATAGGGACTCTTGTACTGGCAAACAAGTCTTTATTATGGTAAATATGGTAACGTGTACTTTGGATAGTACTGTAATGTAGTACAGCATTTGAGTCAAAGAAAGGTACAATATAGTACACCATCAATCTAGGACCAATCTTTTCTCCTCTGCTTTAGGTCGATCAACTAACATCTCGTGTAAGAAGGCAGGACAGAGCCTTATATAGTGCTCTGCTATCAGCAATATTCACTTGTCAAAAAAAAAAGTATGCGTTTGTTTTTGAACTATTTAATACAAGAGGGTCTTTTTCTCCTTGATTGATTGCTTAGGTAAATTCATCATGCTGGCTGTAATGTGATTAATTTGTCAAGAATGCTGATCTTTATTGGCTTTTTCCTTAAAGCATCTCTTAATGTTAATGCACCAACTTATGCTGAGGATAACCCATTTGTTGTTATCGAAGAGAGTTTTAACTTTTGCGATTCGCATTTGGTTTTATTGGTTTTGTTGTGAGTTGACTTTTAGGGTTGGGGAGTGGAGGGCTTGCATTATGTTGGAATTATTCTATCTAAAATGTCTCATAAGAACTCATAACTTCTGATTATTATGTTGCATTATTGCTGTTTTCTTGCGTTAAATTGATGGTATTGACAACTTGGTGACAGACAGAATTTATGGTGGACATGTCGTGTCAAGGCTGTGTTAAGGCAGTCAAGAGCAAACTGCAAACTGTTGAAGGTAAGTGCTAAAAACAAGAAATCATGCCTTGTCATGAGGCTTTTTTCCTGTAAAAAACTCATCAATTTGTTTTGGCATTGAAAGAGATCTTTTGTGTGGCTTTTAGGTGTTAAGAATGTGGATGTGGACCTCGATAATCAAGTAGTGAGAGTTCTTGGATCTTCACCTGTAAAGATTTTGACAGAAGCCTTGGAGCAAACAGGTCGGAAAGCCCGACTGATTGGACAAGGAGTTCCGGATGGTATAGTTCCAATCTTAAAGCTAATTGTATATCTGATGTTTTGTTTGTTTTAGAAAGTTTGTGAAGCATTATATTTTCACATCTCTGGCTATATTCACAGGATGACCAGAATCAGCTATGCCTATGATTATTGTATATAATGTTTTCTAAAGTGCTGAACTGAGAGAATGAATGCAAAAGAGGGATCATAAGCAGTTACCTCATGAGCTTTAGATTTCTTCAGCTTCATCTACTTTATTTCCAATGCGATGTATCCAACAATTTTATGTGTTTAACCATGCTTTGTAGATTTCCTTATATCTGCTGCTGTTGCGGAATTCAAAGGGCCAGACATTTTTGGTGTTGTTCGCTTGGCTCAAGTCAATATGGAATTAACTAGGATTGAAGCAAACTTCAGTGGACTGTCACCTGGAAAGCATGCTTGGTCAATTAATGAATTTGGTGATTTGACGAGGGGGGCAGCTAGTACTGGGAAATTGTATAGCCCAGTAAGTAATACTCAGAAAAACATCTGATTTAAATTTAATATGTTATATTCCCTTGTTCCTGTGAACTCTACATAGGTGCTATCTATCAGTTGAGAATATGTTTGTCATGGTAGCATTTTTACTTCTTATGCTTTTCAAGGAGCCATTTAGCCTTTCAGAGTTTTATACGTCATCAATAGATAATATATAGAACTTCTAGTACTTTTTATTTTTATTTGTATGTTATTGGCCTGAGATGAATTTAATTGGAGTAACATGGTCAGTGAGGTAGCCGAACCCGTGTGTTTGGGATTGAGGCACAGTTGTGTTTTCTTTTTTTTCTTTTGGGGCGTGGGCATGGATTCTGCAGTAGCCGTTATCCTTCCACAGAGAAATAGAGGGAATCGGCATGCTTATCTATTATTTATGCAGTCGGGTTCTCAACTAATCTCACTTATGTATGCTTTAAGTGCTTGAAGGACTATGGTAATACTTTTAAGGGGTCCATTGTCAATGAAATGTATCTAATAATGCATGCTGTTAGTTTTGGAATGGAAGTCGTCTGAAAAAAGGATACTGTTTGGCAGCGACTATGTGAAACTTTTCCTTTCTCTTTGTCCTCCAAAGGGTGAAATGAATGTCTACACATGCTTGTTGTGTTAATTCTTTACTTGTTTTGGAGTGTCTAAAGGTGCCAAATTTATGGAGAAGGTTCTAATGCGTGATTGGTTTGTGTGGGTTTTGAGTAACACCATGTACAAGTTACTATTCAAGCTAAGATGTACTAATACTCTTTCCGCTTCCCTTCTATTTTTTCCCGCTTTCTTTCTGGGGAGTGGGAGATGGGGGTTTACTTACTTGGTGAAAGCCATGCATTTAACAGGGTGTTAGGTATTGTGACCTTTGCAGTCCTTGCTTTGCCTAGGACGTAATAGTAAAGAATTTGGTGCAAAGGGATAAATGATGAAATGGTGAGTGCCCTGATAATTCTTGGTTCTGGAAGGGTCAGCCATTTCCCCACACGGGATGCATGCTTGTTCCATTCTTCACGACTTCTATATTGAGACTATTTGGTAGTGATCTACAACCTGGGAAACTAAAACAAGGTGGTTGTTCCCACAGTGATGTCATAATATAAACGGGATATCTAATTTTTGCTTTTTTTCCTTGGCCCTGAACATTGTATTGGATAAAGTTGCACCAAAAGGTTGATTTGGTGCACTTTTTAATGTGTTTTTCCATTTTTCAGCCACTCGGTGACCTGGGAACACTGGAAGTTGATGTGAAAGGCGAGGCATTTTATTCTGGTGCTAAAGAGAAGCTGAGAGTTGCTGACCTGATTGGGCGAGCTATAGCAGTATATTCAACTGAAGATAAATCAGATCCTGGCCTTAAAGCAGCAGTGATAGCTAGAAGTGCAGGAGTTGGTGAGAACTACAAGAAACTCTGCACTTGTGATGGTACAACTATTTGGGAAGCAACTAACAAACTTTGAACACTTGCACAATCGTGGACCTATATGTTCTTTGTATACTACATCTCCATCATTTCCAAGATCATGAAGCTTTTCAAGTTGGACGAACCATTTTAATGTATCAAAATAAATGTATCATTTGCTCATTCATTTCTTGGTTCCTATTTACAGAGTTGCTCATCTTTATCTCAATAAGGATTGCCAATGAATTAAATTTTAACAAAGCATCAAGCTTTCAGTAGTTTTCAATTTGGGATGGCAGGGTCGTTTTCCAACTGCAATTGGAAATTACTTTCTTCAGTGATGTTCGTTATTCAACTTTATCAAGCTGCAACCAGAAAGATTTTACTCAAAAGGATTGGAAGTAAGACTCTAATTTCCATGAGTTCTTCGAGACAAATAAAAAATTTCAATTTGGGGTATTTGACTCAAAATTTACAAGCACTCAGTTTCTTTTACTTTATTTAATAGGAAAATAAGTCGCAGCAAGAAATGTTTTGAAGGAGATACAAGCTCATAGCTAAATAGCAGTGCCATGTTCTTGTGATAACAATAAATATGAAGCGAACTATACCCATCCATACCAGGAACAGAATAAACGGCAAAAGGGAATAGAGTTAATACATTTGTTATCTTTTAGGACTTCCGTTAACGCCGGGTAGGGGTAAGGCCTGCGTGCATACTACCCTCTCCAGATCTCACATGTGGGATTTCACTAGGTTTTTTGTTGTTGTAGGTTTTCCATTAACTGTGCAAGAACCAATCTCCTCTTTCCCTTTTTTTATTATCTATTTTGAAATGATAAAATTGTGTTCTATGCAAAACAGCTTTTAATGTAGAAAAGTTTAAAACTAAGCAACAGATGCAGTTGCCAGGAGTGTGCACCTGGGAATGCCCATAATTTAGATATCATCCGCCTAAGATATAGCATCACCTATTCAGCCAAGCATACAATAAAGTAAATTGAGATAAATGGAAGAGAAAATATTAACTTGTCGTCGAGCAAGGCAGCAGCCCATCTCTTTTGGCCATCTCATAGAGGGCAATTGCGGTCAGAGCTTTTGCATCAGCTGTGGCACGCCATAGTTTATCATATGGAACCACATGCACCTTAATCAGCTCCCCATGGTCACGTAGTCCAGTTTCTTTCCCTTGCAGTTGTTGGATTTTCTCTTTGCTGACATTTCCTCTGTATAGAAACAAACTGATCTCCTCATCACAGCCACCCTAACGTCGAAAGAACAACAAAATCACAAAATATAGTGTTAAAAAAGCATAAAGGCAGAAATCTTAATAAAAGTCCCCATTTTTTAAGTGCGAATAATAGACCCAACTTAAGGCTATGTACGATAGACCCGATGCAGTCACCCTACTCTGAACCCCGTACACCAAGCTGCCCTTTTTTATCTGAAATGCGAGAAAGAAGCTACCACTGTTCCAGAAAATGGCAGCTTCTCTATGCTGATTATAATTTTTACTATGCTGAAAAACCATGAGGGTCAAGGTTAGTATAATTATTATTTCATGTGCACATGGAGTAGTATCCAACATTCTTTTAATACTGATACTAGAAGTATGAACCGTCAACATTCTTTTAATACTAGGCTAGAAGCAACTATAACATATACCCTTTCATATACTTTTTAGCAGAAACTAGCTGTTTATGCAAATATTTCTACTTATTGTTCCCATAATACAAAATCCAAGAAAGCATGTGGTCAGAATAGTCTTTCTTATAGAAGATGGTGGAAGCTTACAGGAGAAGGAAAAACTCTGCCCCCAGTCGATGTGTCGAGAAACGCTGTGAGGTCGACCATATCATGAACATTCAGGTGGATTCCAGTTTCTTCCTCAACCTGAGACATATAGATCAAATACTTAAATTAGAAGTTCGGCCAAATAGCAATGTTAAACTCTCCAATTTTGCCATCCACAAGCTAATACTAATTTATATGCACATCCATAAGTATTCAAAAGCAGCTCTTGATTATACAGTACAGTGCAACTAAGTTGTCAAATATGTAATACAGTTGCTTGTGATAAGTTAGTTACGATGTTCCTCTAAGGATCAGTAGAGTCACGCATACACAAACATCAACAGATTTCTGGATTCTATTAACTACTCAGAAAAGAAGGAACTTCCGTTGATTAGTCGGAAAAAGACAGAATAAGAGGAATCCAGTTCATTATGCAATAATAAATGAATATACTAGGGAAATGAGCCGTGAAGCAAGGGAACAGCTTGCCCCAGTCTAGAAAATTTTGAGAAAGTTCATATTCACTCTGTATGTATCTTAATGAGTCAACTGCAGCAAATGATGACTAAGTATTGGCTCATTGTATTATCTGGAGAAATTTTTACTTCATCTTTTGAAGATTCATGTATTCTATTCCTTGTACAGGGCTGTCGTCTACCAGGTACAAAAGCCTATATGGGTTAGCGACATGATTATTCCTTTTCTTGGTTAAGTTGGCTACTTGCAATCTCCTGCACACCTTAAAAATGATGGTTTGACGACTATGACTTTACCATAAAGTTCAAATATAGACTTGAACTGTAGCATTCAAAATTACATTAATGCCTGAGATTTTGACAAATTAACTCATTGTTGACACTTGCTCGGGATTGACTTGTTGACAACTACTTAATCCTCAGTGTCACCTATTGATTGAGACCCTGCGAGCATATTAGTCACCTTACTCAGATAACTCTGCAACAGCTACCAAAAAGTGACAAGACAATGTCTGGCACGACCTAACATAATCCTTCAGCATCTATCGTTTGTACATTATTATCTGTGACCCAAATAATTTGCAAAAGCAAATACGAGCCCTCTTTAAACATTTTGTAGACGATTAAAAAGCAAATACCAGTCTTGTAGGAAACATTTCTGGACGAGACCATACAAAACCCCGGACCTTCACAATGATTAAAGCCGCTGTAATATACACCATTAGATCTAAAATAAATTTGAAACTTAAATGTTTCCGTTTGATTATTCACTTCTCTCTGTATACTGGGTTGCAAACAGAACTGTCAGAAAATCATCTGTGACCAGAAAACAGTAACTCTGGCATGAAATGCCTGTGCATGGATGAATATGTGATAGCTTTCGGCATCACGTTGCCTGGATTATTTGGGTGGGGAAGGGGATAATGCTTTGATAGAGAGGGAAAGAGAGACCTCTCGAACTGCTGTTCCAGCAAAGTCACCTTGGTCATCATCCAACATTCCTGCTGGCAATTCCAAAATTAGCCTCCCAACAGGGACCCTAACCTTTCAAACAATTTGAATGTATTTTAGAGTTAAAAAGGTAATAGGGGTAGAGAACTTTCATAGATTTCCTCACCTAATTAGTACTGTGAGATAATTTTCTACGTTATATAAATAGAGGAGTTGATGGTTGGAAGACCTACCTGTTCTGTAAGCACAGCATACGTCTCACCCTCAGAATCCAAAAGGATTAGCACTGCAACAGCTGGACCCCGTGCAAAGACAATACCAGGAACCTACACACAACAGAAGCAATAGTAATTGGAAAGAAATTGCCCTTGTTGCAACCAACGGTAAGCCTGGAAAAAGGAAATTGGAAGAAATACATCATTATAATGTTAGTAATGACAATCTATGTCAAGAGTACTGTATTCTCCGCCACTCTAAGATACTAGGACAAAAGACCAAGTATAAACAAAATAAATTAAGGAAACCACAGCTTTAAGAGAATCTATTCATTGTCCGCCTGAATGAGTTACATAAATGGGATGGGAGATTCTACTCAGATACCTTTTGACCCGTCTCCTTATCAATAATATCTGCTTTGAACTTTAGAAACCCCAAACGCTTTCCAAACATATCTACACCCTGCTCCAACACATAAAAAGGAAAATCAGCTGTAAATCAAACTTAATGCTTGCGGTAGCACGACTAAAAGCAGATTGAACTTCGGTGTTAGTACTATGTCTCCAGTCACTGATAGTGCTACCCAAAATCATTATAACAATCCTGACATATAACATGAAGAAGACTTCTCTTTTATCCCCTTCAGAAAGGAGGACTACTGACAGCTATATTTGGGCAGCATGGCAATCATTTAGGAGCATAAGGTGCACAATTAACCTAAATATACATTGGTCTGATAAATGTTAATTGGACTTTAACATACTTAACAACAATGTAGTTAAGGAGCATCCGTCAAGATGAAAAGACTTTTCTCCAGCATTGTCCAATGTTGAATAATTTAGAAGTGCTCTAGCAACTCAACTTGCCGCGGAGCACTCATTAGCCAATAATATAATTCGTCGAAGCTAGTGAACAAATAAAAGTTATACATACTTAAAACAAGAAATTGAGACTGAGACCTGAATAAGAACTTGTCTTAGAGACATAGCTCCATTAGCCAGCATTCCTGCTTCAGTTTGTATGTTCTTTAACCACTGCTTGAACAATGAGGATTCAATAGCATTCCTACAAGAAAATACACCATAATCACTCAATCCAAAGCCATATTAAGAAAACTCTGAACCTCTTAACATAAAAATGCTTCCTTTTTTGAAAATCTGACTACAAATGCCATATTAAGAGTAAATTACATAAACCCAAAAGAAGAAATAGCAACTGGCGGGACTTCCAAACGGCTCACTTAATCCAAAACCATGCCAAGAAAAATGCTTAATCTTTAACATAAAAAAGTTTCTCTTTTTTGCAAAAATCTCACCAAAAATATCATATTAAGCGTGAATTACGTTAGTGGAATGCTAAAAATAGAAACCCAATAAAGAGAAAATAGCAAGTGGAGGGACTTGCCTGAACTGCGTATCGGAGACGCCGGGAGCAGCGACAATGGTAACGGGTTGATCGAGTTGGGCTGGAAGATTGATGATGTGGCTGAGTTGAGAAGGTGGGGTTGTTGACATTTTAGCAGAGAAGGTTGTTTGAGTACAAGTTTTATTAGGAGAAAGGGTTGAAGAGGAGAAGGAGAATGGGAATTTGTTGAGAGGTTCCAAGAATGGAAGTCCATAACGTGGCACTGCCACTCTCATGATTCGCCGGCTGTGTTGGCAAAGTTGCTCATTTATGTTTTTCTTTTTGTTATAAACCGACGAGATGAATTGCAATGCTCTTTGGGTGTCTTTGTAATATTTTCCGGAAAATATTTTTCAATTTTTCCATGTTTGGTTGGCTAAAATGTTTTGGAAAATATTTTTCGAACTTATTTTTCTTCAATTAGAGGAAAATTTCCTTATCAAAAGAAAAAAAAATATTTTTCAAAATCTCAACTTTCCCCACTCTCACCAACCCACCCACCCCTCTCCGAAAAAGGCTTTTCTTTTTAAAAAAATTCAGTTGTTCCTTTATTACCCACCCTACTACCCATCCACCCCGTCCCCTCCCCTGCAAAAAAAATTACTTTTTTTACCTTAATTTTTTTTTTACAATTTTAAATTTCTATTTTTTCGTTTTTCTGCACCACTCATCCCAACCTCCCCCCACACAAAAAAAATTCTGTTTTTTTTTTATAATTTAAATTTCTCTTTTTTTTGTTTTATTGCTCCCCCCTCCCCTGAAAAAATATTTTTTAATTATATTTTTCAGTTTTATTTTTTTTTATTTATCGGTTTGAAGGTTCAAAATTTTACAAGTTCCAAAATTATGAGTTTGGAAGTTTATGGGTTTAGAAATTATAAAGTTTACGGGTTTGAAATTTTGCGGTTTTGAAAGTTTAGCGGTTCGAAAGTTTATGAAACTTGTGAGTTCGGAAGGTTGTTGGTTTGAAAGTTTATGGCTTCATGTAGGGGTGTTCATGGTTCGGTTTGGATCGGTTTTTCCTTAAAAAGAAACCAAACCAAGTAAGTTGTTTTTTCAAATATTAGAACCAAAACAAACCAATTAAGTCGGTTTTTTCTCGATTCGGTTTATGTCGGATTTTGTCAGTTTTTTGGTTATTTGTCGGTTTTTTCTTAAATATAAGACATACACTACCAAACACATACTCCAGCGATCACATTTTCAACGTAACACTATCAAATCAATTGCCCTTTGAGAAATTTATTATTTACTAAAATATATTGATGATAATTGAATCAAATAGTGATGAGTAATTTAAGGACTCAATTAAAAATATATTTTTTTAACATGAAATGGATTCTTACACTTAACAAAAGAAAACTACCAATCAAACTAGAATATAAAGGTAAAGAACTGTACTAAAAATGCAAACGATTAACATTCACCATAAAATTTTTGAAACTTTGTATAAAAATATACATATATATAGGTGTAATAATAAATTTGAAATAGCTACTCCTATAGTCGGTTTGGTTCGATTTTTTCGGTTATTTTTTGGTTAAAACCAAAACCAAACCAAATTTGATCGGTTTTTAAAATTCAAAACCAAAACCATACCAAGCCAAAAAGTATCGGTTTTTTTGGTCAGTTTGGTTTGGTTTTCGGTTTGGTTCGGCTTTTCGGGTTTTTATGAACGCCCCTAGCTTCATGTTTATTATATCTAAATTATTTATGAATATTCTTGAGAAGTCATTTTCCTTAATTTGCGTACCAAACACCGGAAAATAAATAAGATTACTACTTATTTTCCAAGAAAACATTTTCCGCTACACCAAATATTTTATTTTATTTTATTTTCTTCAATTTCAATGGTCTTTATATCAAGCTTTTTTCTGTTCCTTCTTGGGCTTTTTTTCTTCCTTTGTACGTGGTTCTGCTACCACACATCTTAAGGTTAATTTCGGGTATAATCACTAAATTTTACTTGCTATAACATTACATAGGCTTACTCTACTCGACATATCATTAAAACTCTCTAATATAGTGCTTTAGCTACATTTGAACTCATAATTATAGTTCAAACTCTATACATTTATTCAAATATTTACTACTAAATATGTACAAAAAATAGATCTCAATCAAGATATATTTAAATCCTGGATCCGACTTTGTCTCTCTCGAGAGCTGAAGGATAACTAAAAAACTCGCATTGCTCTCTCTCACACACACAAATATGAGTATTTGAGAAACCCACTGAATTCGGTATGGGGACATTTATTCAAAGAGCAAAAGCATATGGAGTATAATATATACACAACTAAATCCACACCTCTGAAACTCTCCAGTCCCGCTACAAGAGTGAGCGGGGGGGAGAAAACTTCACAATGTTTGTGGACAATTTCTGCTAACACAATAATACTTATTTGTAATTCAGTATAATCAAACATACAATAGTATGGTCCAGAAGTCATATGATGTCTATGTTACAACATTTTCAATCTTTTCCCGCATTTATTCGTTGGAGGAAAAAACACCACAATCAACTACAGGATGAGCAATGGCAAAGCTGTCTCATGATCTAGACATAAACACCAAGTTAAGCAAGAACGAGCCAAGATAATGGGAGCCTTAACCAAGTGTCAAGGAGCAACATAAGGCGCAATTTTCCTTGGCCAACAGCTGGTATAAAAGAGAAAACGCAACTTCACCCTGCAGCATACTTCCACTTCCCTTGTTAAAATGAATGTCTGAATCTGATGTTGAATTTAGGGTCCATACCAGCTTACAGAACACATAAGTTTTCATGAACAAGCCGGTAAATCTTCAACGGATGCAGCCACCAGGAGAAGCTAACACATTTTACAACAAACTGATGATTGTGGAGGCAGCACTCAGAACTCATCCTTTTGATGCTGATGTTGAATTTGCCTGGTCTGCCACAGTGAACTTATTACTAGTAACAGATCTTGATAATTCTGAGTGGAAATCTTAAAATGGAATGGATTCAGAAAATATAGACATGAGGGGAACATGCAGGATATAATTTCAGAAATCCAATCCATAATCCTCGCTCCTGAGTGAAATTTATAATTGTAACTTATATTTGTAAAGTCAATCAGTACTCAAGCATTCTTCACCAATTGCTCCCTGTAACACCGGTCTATGAATAAACAATAATGCAATAAAACCTCATACTTCTTTATGCTCAACATTGCAAGTCCAAACAATGAACATTTTCTCATCAGATTCAAGAAGCCACACTCAGCATTAACCTTACCTTACAAATTTGTGGTATCCATAATCCTGCATAATAATTATCCACGATTGTTTGTTATATTCATGTTACAACTTCAAGCGACCAATCATTATTGGTGGACAACAAAACAACTACTATCATCATTACGCCTCAGTCCCAAACAAGTTGGGGTCGGCAATATAAATCCCCACTTCTTTCTTTAGGTTCAACTCATATAATCAAATACATGTACTCTTATTTTGGATATATTACAGCTTCAGATAAATAGGCCAAAGCTAAATTATCTCAACTAAAATACTGGCAAGAAAACTTATCAGTCCATATCTATATATGCAAGAATGCACCAATGCCCCAGTCACAGCCTTGACAGAGTCTTGTTTGGCTTCTCCTCCTCACCGTAATCTCCCACAGTCTCATCAGAACCAAGAGAATTTAGTAGCTCGACATACAAAGTTTTCCTACAATCAGCATACACTTTCCCATCCCAATTTCTGCTCACCAATTCTTCCCCTAACCTCACAGCTGCCTCCACAGTCTCCTCTGCTCCAGTGTGAGCCGAATCAACAATCCCCATTTCAACTCCCATCTCAGCCGTCATCTTAGCCGATTTCAACACCACCTCACGCCAAACCGCCGGCGACCCAACTTTACACTTAAACAAAGCCGAAAACCAAATCGGAATCTTATATCCAATATCAAGCTCACTCATATAAAGAAACCCTCGATCCTTACGCATAAGAACGTAATCATGAGAAAGGGCGAAGATTAAACCGGCAGCAGATGCGTGTCCAGTGACAGCAGCAATTGTGGGCATAGGCAAGGTGATTAAGTCATAGACAAGTGCGCGAAGTTTCTTAGACATGAGTAGTGGGCGAGCTTTGTCAACTAAGGCCCACTTAAGATCGTAACCATTGGAGAAGAATTTACCTTGCGCTGTGGTGATCAGAGCGGCAGAGGAAGAAGCTGGTTCAGATCGGAGACGGCGGAGAGCGGCGGCGAGGGAGTCAATAAGGTTGGGGTGTAAACGGTGCTCATCAGCACCAGTTAAGGTTAAGAGGAAGATGTTGCCTCTCTTCTCTAATGTACACATCCCTCCCTTTTTTCTCCTTCCTATGGCTGGATTTCAGCAGCTATGGAAGATTGTCCCTACTAAAAAGTAGAGGATTTTTGGTAGGTAGAAGAAAGAAAGGGAACAGAAATGAAGATATTATTGGTTCTTGATTAAGGGTGTCTGATACGATGGAAAAGAACGGTTATTTTTTCATTTTCGGTCGGTGAGTGAAATTTTTTTGGGAAACAGCCATACCATTTAAGAACGGTTAACCTTAATAAATCAAAATGCTTCCTTTTATCAAAATTGTTGAACAACTTCAAAAGTCTTCTTCATTAGTATTTAAAGTTTATCTTTTCTATTGTTTATTATTATTGTTTCTTTAATGACTAGCTCCCTTAGAATAATAATTTATATGTCTTAATCATATAATTTCAATTAATATAAGTATGGAAATCGTCTTATGCAGATTTCGAAAGGTGTCTAATACGTTTTTTTTATTTAATTTGAACCCCTTTTAACTATAATATCTTTTATATTAATTTTTTAATATTTAATATTTTAAATTAATAAAATTTTACCTATTAAATTATTATTTTTTAAAAATATGCATGAAGGTTTAATAACTAACTTTATAAGAATTTCCTATATTGGCAATACATTACCACTCAATAATGTCCAATACCAGGAAAAAATAAAAGTAATGTTAAATAGACTGCACAAAGAGTTGAAATTGAGAAAAAAAATACCCCCATGATAATAGATTTTTATATTATATTTAAACTGATTTTCTACTCAATAATATTTTATTATTATTAAATATAAATGTCACGACCCGGATTTTCCACCCTCGGAAGTCGTGATGGCGTCTACTAGTGAAAGCTAGGCATGCCAACCTTTTTGAATTATTTACCTTCTCCCCCTTTTTAATCCTTTAACAATTAAGAGCCAACATTATATAAACATTGGAAATTTAAAAATGGAAGACTGAAACGTAGTATATTAATAAAGATGTCACTACCAATCCATACATAAACTACCCAAGACTGGTGTTACAATTTCATAGACTATCTAGGAGTATTACAAATAAAGGTCTAAAAGAATTATTACAACACTATCTCTGAAATACATGAAAGAAACAGAATAAAAGGATAGAAGGAGACGCCAAGGCCTGCGGATGCCGGCAGGACTACCTCGGATCTCCGGATGGACTGAAGGCAGCAACCCCAAAGCTAAGGTCCAAAAGCTGCTGCATCGGGATCTGCACACAATGCAGAGTGTAGTATCAGCACAACTGACTCATGTGTTGGTAAGTGCCTAGCCTAACCTCGGCGAAGTAGTGACAAGGTTAGGACCAGACTACCAAATAAACCTGTGCAGTTAAATTATATACAGCGATAAATAAAAGCAGGAACGTACAGTTAAGAATAGGAGGGAGAAACATGATGCGGGGAAACATCAATAATAACAGAAGGACAACGGGTAAATATAAGAAACACCATAACTCAATTATCAACAAGAATCAGAAATCAAACAAGTGCACGGCATCACCCTTCGTGCTTTTACTCTCGTCCTCACCATAAATCAAAATAATCGGCACGGAATTGTACATCGTGCGACATGGCATCACCCTTCGTGCTTTTACACTCTTCCTCACAAAATCACACACGACATCACCCTTTGTGCTTTAACACTCTCTCACCAAAATAATACACGGCATCACCCTTCGTGATCAAACACTCTTCCTCACCCAAACAACAATCACAAACAATAAGGGCAAAGAAATAAATAAAATCACAATAAAATCCCGGCAAGGGAATAATAGTGCAACAATCAAATCCCAGCAAGGGAACAATATCAAAAGTATCAACATCCCGGAAAGGGAGATATCATTAAAAGCAACCACATCCCGGCAAGGGCGGCAATATAATAATCCTCTTTTTTCACATTTACTCCACAACTCACTTCACAACTTGAGCCAATGCTCTATAAGGTTCAGTTGTCAATTATACTTCAACAATTTATTTTACAACTTGAGCCAACATTCTTCAATATACAAATACCAAGATTACTTCTACAAGCTTTGCTCAACAATAGAAATCATCACATAAGGAATGAACAATACAAATGGAGTTACATTAACCATAGTATAAGACTCACAGGCATGCTTGACACCAACGTATAGATATTCGTCACCATGCCTATACGTCGTACTCAACAAATAACACATAACAAATAGGACACAACTCTGAATCCCTCAAGCTAAGGTTAGACCAAACACTTACCTCGATGCTACGAACACAATTCAAGTCTCAATTATCGCTTTACCTCTTGAGTTCACCACCAATTCACTCGTATCTAGACACAAGTTACTTAACTATATCAATAAATGCTAAATGAGTCAATTCCAATGCATGAAAATAGATTTTCTAAAGTTTTTCCTAAAAAGTCAAAAATCGACCCCGGGCCCACTTGGTCAAAACCCGAGGTTCGAACCAAAATCCGATTACCCATTCCCCAACGAACCCAAATATATATTTTTATTTTGAAATTGGACCTCAAATCGAGGTCCAAATCCCCAAAATTTGAAAAACCTAGGTTCTACCCAAAACACCCAATTTCCCTCATGAAAACCCTTGATTTTAAGTAGAAATCATGTGAAAAAATGTTAAAGATTGAAGAAATCGAGTTAGAAATGACTTACAATCGATTTGGAGAAGAACTTTTCTTTGGAAAATCGTCCAAGAGAGTTTATGTTTTGAAAGGGTTTGAAAAATGAAAGATTTTCGGCTAAGTCATGAATTTGCAGGTCACAGATGTCGCAATTGCGACCGGTGTTCGAAATTGCGAACCCTTCAGAACCTGCTAATCTCGCATTTGCGATCAATTGTGAACTCGCATTTGCGATGGGAGAGTCGCATTTGCGACAATGGGGATTTCTGATTCTCTTCGCATTTGCGAAGAAATGATTGCATTTGCGATCAGGCCTCCCAAACCTTATCTCGAATTTGCGATGGTTTATTCGCATATGTGATCTCGCATTTGCGAGCCAGCCTGCAGACCTGCAACATACCAGCAATTCCTAAGTGCAAATTTTTCTCCATGGCCTATCCAACACTCATCCGAGCCCTCGAGGCTCCAAACCAAACATGCACACTAACCTAAAAACATAATAAGGACTTGCTCGTTCAATCAAATCACCAAAATAACATCAACAACTATGAATTTAGTATCAAAATCAAAGAAAATCTCAAGAACTTTCAAAGTTTCAAATTTTACAACTAAAGCTCCGAATCGCGTCATATGATCTCCGTTTTACCAAATTTTACAGGCTCGACTTAAATCACATATAAGACTTGTACCTGGCTCTGAAACCAAAATACGGGCCCGATATCATCAAATTCCAAACACATTTCATTTCTAAAAACTTATATATATTTCAGAAAATAATTTTCTTTAAAAATTCATTTCTCGGCCTTGGGACCTCGGAATTCGATTCCGGCCATACGCTCAAGTCCCATATTTTCCTACGGACCTTCCGGGACTGTCAAAGCACGGGTATAGGTCTGCTTACCCAAAAATCGAAGCCAACTTAAATTCATTTTAAAGGCGAAATTTATCATTTTTTCATAGATTTTCACATAATGGCTTTCCGGATACGCGCCCAGACTGCGCACGCAAATCGAGGTGAGATAGAAAGAAGTTTTTAAGGCCTCGGAACATAAAATTTATTTCTAACAAGTGATGACCCTTTAAAACAACCGTTCGTCCTCAGACGGACATAAGAAGGAAGTACCTGAGTCGGAGAAAAGATGGGGATAATGGTTCCGCATATTGGACTCTGACTCCCAGGTCGATGCCTCAACAAGTTGACCTCTCCACTGAACACGAACAGAAGGGAAACTCTCGATCTCAACTGACGAACCTGCCAGTCTAGAATAGCTACCGGCTCCTCCTCATAGGACAAGTCCTTGTCCAACGGGACAGTGATGAAATCTAGCACGTGGGATGAATTGTTGTGATACTTCCAAAGCATGGACACATGAAACACTGGATGCACATCTGATAAACTCGGCGGCAATACAAGTTTGTAATCCACCTCTCCCACTCGATCAAGAATCTCAAACGGGACAATGAACCTAGGGCTAAGCTTGCCCCTCTTCCCAATTCTCTTCATGCCCTTCATAGGCGACACCCGAAGCAACACTCGCTCACCGATAATGAATGCCAAATCACGAACCTTACGGTCGTCATAACTCGTTTGCCTGGACTGAGCTGTATAAAGCCTATCCTGAATGATCATGACCTTGTCCAAGGCATCCTGTACTAGATCCGTACCCAACAACCGAGCCTCTCCCGGCTCAAACCATCCAACCGGCGACCGACACCGCCTACCATATAAAGCCTCATAAGGAGCCATCTGAATGCTCGACTGGTAGCTGTTGTTGTAGGCAAACTCTGCTAAAGGCAAAAACTGATCCCACGAGCCTCCAAAGTCAATGACACAAGCTCGGAGCATATCTTCCAAAATCTGAATAGTCCGCTCGGACTGTCCGTCCGTCTGAGGATGAAATGTTGTGCTCAACTCAACCCATGTGCCCAACTCCCACTGAACTGCTCTCCAGAAATGCGAGGTAAACTACGTACCTCGGTTTGAAATGATAGACACTGGCACACCATGAAGATGAACAATCTCCCGGATATAGATCTCAGCTAACCTCTCGGAAGAATAGGAGACATGGTCAGCCTATCAACAATAACCCACACTGCATCGAACTTCCTCTAAGTCCGTGGGAGTCCAACAACGAAGTCCATAGTGATACACTCCCACTTCTACTCAGGAATCTCAATCTTCTGGAAAAAACCACCAGGTCTCTAATGCTCGTACTTAACCTGCTGACAATTCAAACACCGAGCCACATATGGAACGATATCCTTCTTCATTCTCCTCCACTAATAATGTTGCTGCAAATCCTGATACATCTTAGTTGCGCCCGGATGAATAGAGTACCGGGAACTATGGGCCTCCTCCAAAATCAACTCTCGGAGCCCATCCACATTAGGCACACAAACTCGACCCTGCAGCCTCAAAACTCCATCATCTCCTAATGTAACTTGCTTGGCATCTCCATGCTGAACTGTGTCTCTAAGGACATACAAATGAGGGTCATCATACTACCGATCTCGGATATGCTTCAATAAAGAAGAACGAGCGACTGTGCAAGCTAACACACGGCTGGGCTCAGAAACATCCAACCTCACGAACTGATTGGCCAAAGCCTGAACATCCAAAGCAAGTGGTCTCTCACCGACCGGAATATATGCAAGACTGCTCATACTGGCTGACGTCCTACTCAAAGCATCTGCCACATTGAAAATGTTATTTGGTTTTACACATTGAAAGGCCAGCTTCTTAGTAGGATACCATGAATTTTTTTTTCTACAAATAAGATATGTTATATAGATGAGCAGCAACATACTTTTAGGGTGGACGGAATTTTTTAAATATATTTCTGAACACTTATCAAATCATATGTTACAAGAACTTCGAACTGTAAAAAAATTGCATGATTAATCTTTTCATTAATGAATCCTTGAATGTTATGACCGAAAGATGAATGGGTATGTATTAATTTTCATTTCAAATATTAAAAATTATTTTTTTTTTGTTTTTGTGTCACTGTTGTTGCTATTTTTACTAAATTTTATTTTATTAATGAAATGTTTTGCGTTGTTATTCACTTTGATTTAACTTCCTACTTTCAATTGAAAACGCCGAAATTGAGAGAATATTAACCAAATTTTTACCTTCATTTTCTTCTGCTTAATACAAAAACAAGGGAAATGAAACACACTCTACCATTTTTAGTTTTTTTTCGGACAAATAGGACCGCAACATAATTAGTCCATTGATTTTGCGAAGTAATTTTCCTTTATATGTATTGTTACTTCTAAAACCTGATTTTAAATATAATACAAATCTCTTCTACAGATAAAGTTGAGCCTTCCAAAAGCATAAACTATTCGGTCGAAAAGTGAAGAAAGACTTCATCATTTATCTAATATAATAAATGGTGAGTGATACTATCATCCACTTACTATATATATAATTATGTTATTAAAATTTACTTTACCATAGTTTGTTGTTTATTAGTTTGGTTAAGTTAATTAACAGTATCATCTATTTAATATATTTATAGTGGTGTTGTTACAACTTAATTTACCATAATTTATTCTTATTGTAATGTTTGGATAAGTTGATTAATAGACATCCAACTAATGATGCATATAAAACTCATCATGCAGACATGCAAATAAATTATCTTCGCCCTGATTTAAACACAACTCCTATATTGCAAGGTTAGTTCCTCAATGGTGTTCTTATTTTAGACCTTCATTATATACATTTTTTGTTCACTTATTTTGTTCTATCTGTATTACTTTTAAAATTATATATTCTCATCATAGGTGTGTACGATGACAATATATTGCCCGATTTAAATTACACTCCAACCAAAGAAGATTTTAAAAGTTTGATTGTCATATTAACCTTTCAATTAGTACTAACAATCCTACTACTTTGTAGATATGCAAATGCATAATTCTCTGCCATAATTAAATGAAACTCCAATAATAGAAGGTAAGCATTTGAAATTCTCATTGTTATTAGTTAAAAATAAAATACAATGTTAACATTAATGAAAATTAATTACTGTAACTCTCTTACTAGAAATCGAGGCTGATATAAACAACACTGTTATACAAAGTATGTTTCTATGAGATATTGATTTACCTTTATATAATGACATTATACTACATGTGGCTATATGAATCTAAAGTTACTTTAAGTAAAGTGTGCAATGAGGGGAAAACTTCTCTACGAGAGCCTATGGATGATTGGCGGAGCAGAAGTAGCAGTAATAATAGTCTTAGATCAATATACACTCACAATTTTATACATAACATGGCAGTTGCAAAATAATATAGGATATGAAGATGATGAAGAATATCCAGGTATGACAACCATACCTTCGCACTTTTCTGTTATTATTAAAGAACAATCTATATTGACAAATATAGATATATATATATCTACGTATCATCCCTATTAATTGATTTAACTACTACTTTTCTTAGAGGTGGATGTTGAATATGGCGAAATTTACACTGAAGGTACTTATGAGAAACTCTTTATTCACACAACGCAGTTCGATAAAACAAATCAATAATCTTTTGTCATTGACTTTATATACTATTGCAAGTACAGATTAATGGGACATAGGAGATGCTACATATGAATACGAAAAGTGCGAGGCGCTTTTTTGCTATGAAGAAAGAATCCGCAAGCATTACAACTCAAAAAAACCTATTTTCACAATGTATTGTGATCGCGGAAAAATAAAGCTTCCAGATCTTAAGAAGCCTCCTGAAGTTTTGGAACAACTCTTATTTGGATCAGGTTAGAGGAATTATAACTTTTAATATCAACATGTTCAAATCTACTTATATTCACATTTAGCATTTTGCAATGGTTTTAATATAGGTCCTAAAAGTAGCCATTTTCGAGAAAATATTAGGAGTTATAACTATATCTTCTCATTTACGTCAATGGGGGGTAAGGTTGATATCTCTATCAACCAGAAAAAAGGGCCAAGAATGTTCAGATTATGTGGTCAAAACTATCATCAAATTGGGAGTTTACTACCTCCTGAAGGATCTACTCCAAAATTTGCACAGTTATATATATATGATACAGAGAATGAAGTTACAAATAGAATCAACACTATTAGGTTAGCCTTATACCTTTATTATATAATAATATGAAAATAACAATTAATTTAAAAACCTTTATTGATTTCATATATTTTTTCAGTCGTGGCCAAGATATTAATAAGCTTCATGCTGAAATTGTTTCTGATCTGAAACAAATGGTTGATGACAATAATGTTTTGGCAAAGACATTTAGGATGGTCAGAGATCGATTCCAAGAGAATATAGACTCCAATGTTAAATCAGATTAATAGGGAAGAGAAATACTGATGGTAGAATATAAAACTTACCAACAATACCAGAAGTAGCTGCTTTAGTGGTTGGTGATTTTGAAGTTTCTGGAAGTGATCGCGATATCATTATAGAAACACAATCTGGACAGCTACAAAGGATAAATGAACTAAATGTTGCATATTTAGGTCTACAATATCCTTTGCTTTTTCCTTATGGTGAAGATGGGTACAGAGAGGACATTCCTTTAAGTCAAGGTGATCAATCATCGAGTGGAAGGCAATGTATAAGCATGCGAGAATTTTTCGCTTATAGAATTTAGGAAAGAAAAGATGAAGTTCCCACCATTGTGTCTTCAGGAAGATTATTTCGGCAATTTTTAGTTGATGGTTATACAGTAATAGAATCTTTTCGGTTGAAATTTATAAGGAGTCATCAAAAGAAATTAAGAGTTTATTCTTATAAAGTCCTAGAAGATGCTATATTGCATGTTGACATCGATCCTTCATACCAAGGTAAAAGGATAATTCTACCTTCAAGCTTTACAGGGGGTGCACGATATATGGTTCAGAATTATCGAGATGCTATGACAATATACAAATGGGCTGGGTACCCTGATCTTTTTATCACATTTACTTGCAATTCTAAGTGGCCAGAGATTACTAGATTTGTGGAGAGCATGGGCTTGAATCCTGAAGATCGTCCAGACGTTTTAAGTAGGGTGTTCAAAATTAAATTAGACCACTTAATAAAGGATTTGAGAGATAATCAAGTTTTTGGACAAGTAAAGCAGGTATACACCATTTAGAATTTAATTGAAATAAAGATGGTGATTTTATGTGAGTTTTTCCTATGATTTAGACAATTGTTTTTTCTAATAAACTTGCATAATTTCCAATGCAGTGATTTACACCATCGAGTTCCAAAAACGAGGGCTGCCTCATGCTCATATCTTACTTTTTCTTCATGAGCATAATAAATTTCCATCTGCGTCAGATATTGATCGATTAATTTCGGCAGAAATACCAGATGAGGTGGGTGATTCTAATTATTATAATGCCGTAAAATATTTAATGATGCACTGCCCATGTGGTTCTACTAGGAAATCTTCTCCTTGCATGCAGAATGGTAGATGTACAAAACACTTTCCTAAAAAGTTTGTTGATGCAACAACGGTTGATGAAGAACGGTATCCTGTTTACAGAAGAAGGGATAATGGTAGAACAATTATGAAAAATGGTATTCATTTGGATAACAGGTATGTGGTGCCACGCAATCGCTTCTTATTATTAAAATATGGCGCTCATATCAATGTGGAGTGGTGCAATCAAACCAGATCCATTAAATACTTATTTAAGTACGTCAATAAATGTCATGATCGTACAACTGCTGCTTTTTCTTAAAGTACTCATGATAATGGTTCATCAAGCATTGATGAAATCAACATGTATTACGATTGTCGCTGCATATCCCCATGTGAAGCTGCTTTGGAGAATATTTAAATTCCCAATTCATCATAGAGAACCGTCAGTGGAAAGACTATCATCCCATCTTCCAAATGAACAAAGTGTCATTTTCTCTTATGATGATCCAATTGATAATGTTGCCAATAGACCAACTGTAAAGGAATCTATGTTTTTAGGATGGTTTAAGGCAAACAAAATTTATTCGGAAGCAAGATATTTGACTTACGCAGAATTTTCTCTTAACTTTTGGTGGAACCAAAAATTAAAAAATGGGAAAAGAGGATAAAATCTGCATTTTCTATTGGGAGGATTTTCTTTGTTACTCCAGGAAGTGGAGAGATATATTATCTCAGATTGTTGTTGAATGCAATCAAAGGTCCAACTTCGTATGAAGAACTTAGAAGAATTAACAATCAGAACTATCTTACCTTTAGAGATGCATGTTATGCACTTGGGTTGTTGGATGACGACAAAGAGTATGTCGATGTTATAAAGGAAGCAGGTACTTGGGGAATGCCATCTTATCTAAGACAGTTATTTGTCATGTTGTTGTTATCAAATTCATTGTCACGGCCAGAAATTGTGTGGCAATTATCGTGGCAGTTATTGTCAGAAGATATTCTCCGTGAAGAAAGAACATTATTGAGTAACCCAGGTATTAAAAGATAAAATTTTCATATTAAAATAATTTTTTACTGCTATATGGATTAAATGAGGAATAAATGTTAATACATGATAACTTCTGTAATATTCTACTTTCTTGAATTTGGTAGTCAGATAGATGAAGACAACTCTCTACTTTTAACTATTGATAAAGTCAATTTGATCAATTTATAATATCACTCTTTTCTCGCTACATTTTGTTCGTATATGTTCTAAATGACATCACAAATTGCAACTTTTTTTGACTTATTTTAATACATGTAGTTAAAAGAACAAAAAATAGTACTCCAGATCCATGCTTAGATATGTTATTCTATAACATATAAAAACCAATGATCTGTATACTCATACAAACAAACTATATATACATGAAACTACATGGTTGAATTTAAAGTATGAGTATATATTTTATTTTGAACTATAACATTTTTATGTCATGCAGAGGCTGAACTAACCGATGATGAATTGAAAAATCGTTGCTTGAAAAAGCTGGACAGGATTTTAAAAGGTTGTAGAAAAAGCTTTAACGATTTTCCGACAATGCCAAGACCATATTACAATGAGGAAGAATTTGATGGTGCCAACAGACTAATTAATGAGGAATTGCGCTTTAATAGGCATTCTCTGACACATGAACATCAACAATTATTAATGAAATTAACATTCGAGTAGAAGTCTGTTTATGATAAAATCATATCTGCAGTGAATGAAGATAAAGGAGGGTTATTCTTTTTATATGGTCATGGAGGAACTGGCAAAACTTTTATCTGGAAAACATTGTCTTCTGGCATACGATCTAAAGGCGATATAGTGATAAATGTTGCTTCAAGTGGTATTGCTTCTTTTTTGTTACCAGGAGGTTGAACTGCCCATTCGAGATTCGCGATCCCTCTAAATCCAACTGAAGATTCAGCATGCAATATAAAACAAGGTGCTCCTTTGGCAAAGTTGATTGTGAAGGCAAAATTGATCATTTGGGATGAGGCACCAATGATGCATAAATACTGTTTTGAAGCTCTTGATCGAACTCTTAGAGATATTCTAAGATTTAAAGATCCGTCAAATTTAGATCGGCCATTTGGAGGTAAAATAATTGTTCTTGGAGGTGACTTTAGACAAATCTTGCCTGTAATTACAAAAGGTGCTAGGCAAGAGATTGTTAAAGCAACTCTAAATTCTTCATATTTGTGCCCCACTGTCAGGTTTTAAAGCTAACAACAAATATGAGATTGCAAGGAAATATATCTGGTGCTGATTTGGATGATTTAAAAGAGTTTTCTGATTGGATTTTGGCAATAGGTGATGGAAATATTGGATGTTCCATTGATGGCATTAAGAAAGTAGAAATACATGATGATCTTCTCATACATAATTGTGATGATCCAATATCTGGAATTGTAGAAAGTACATATTCTGATTTCTTGAGACATTTCACGGATATAAAATACCTTCAAGAAAGAGCAATTCTTGCGCCAACTCTTCAGATGGTAGAATCGGTGAATGAATACATGGTTTCTCTCAACAACAGTCAGGATAAGTCATATTTAAGTTCAGATACAATTTGCAAGTCTGATCATGCATTTACATCTTTGGAACATGTACATACACCTGAATTCCTAAATAGTATTAAATGTTCAGGTATTCCAAATCACTCTATCACTTTGAAGGTAGGTGTTCCTGTGATGTTGTTAAGAAATATAGATCAATCGTCAGGATTGTGCAATGGTACAAGATTGATCATCACAAGACTTGGAAATCGGGTAATTGAAGCCAAAGTATTATCAGGAAACATGGCTGGAGATAAAGTTTTTATACCAAGAATGACACTTACTCCATCTGATGCAAGAATTCCTTTTAAGTTCCAAAGAAGGCAATTTCCAGTCATTATATCTTTTGCCATGACCATCAATAAAAGCGAAGGTCAGTCATTATGTAATGTGGGATTATTTTTGAAGAAGCCTGTGTTTACTCATGGACAACTATATATTGCACTTTCAAGAGTAACAAGTAGAAAAGGGTTAAAGATCTTATGTTATGATGAAGATGGGAAAATAACAAATGAAGCTACAATGTAGTGTATAAAGAAGTTTTCCGAAATTTAGAAGATAGAAGTTTTTAATGAGTAAGTATCAAATGAGCAGCACCAACAACAAATTCAGTGTACATACTCAGTATATAGTTGGTCATACTACAAACAAAATAAAATTAGATGAGGTAAACATTCTTCTAAATTTAATTTACTTTGATATGTTATTATAGCTTAATTATTTTTTAGTCACAGGGAAATACTTTTATTTGTTAAATTATATATCTATATTTGCAGTCAATCACTTCAGTTAAATTGTCAAGTTGCAAGAATATGGATTACCAACCATCATTTCACATTCATTGATTGCTACTAGGTATGCAATATTAGTTAGGAAGAATTTAATTCGCAAATATATAATAACAGTGGTAGTTCGATCTGTGAATGCTCATTATGAATAGGAAGAAGAATATCTTCAAGTTGGCATAACGTTAATACATAGCTCTTGAGAAAATTGAGAATGTTTATGCCAAATGCAAATTTGTTGCGCAGTGCTTTGTCTATGGTACGTAGATAAAGAACTTTTCTCTTACGGATTCACTAAATGGTGTCTCCTTTGCTCACTGCTAAAACATTGCAGGTGATAGCTTTACTTCCTCTTTAATAGCAATAGTTTGTGTAGAGCCAGATGTCTTTAAGGAATGGGCATTATCTGAGGGAATCAAGGTAGCTTTTAATCTTCAACATTTAGCCAATGCATTTATATTTTGTCAAATGTTTAACTTAAAGCAACGTGTGTGGAGGTCAACATTTAGATTTCATGTTTCATTGCATTAACCATCATATTTTGCGTGTCTTATCATTAACACTGGAGAATTTTCAAACTTCTTGGTTGTGGATGAAGGTTTCGACAAATTGTGTGCATGTCAACATTCTACAACATAAGTGCCTTTCTCTATATATAAAATCTGTTTGCACATGGTCTTCTTTTCAATTTTTTCTATATCAACATTCCTGCAATTTTATGTGCTAATATCTTTGGTATTCCTAAGACCCTCAAGTGAAATGTGAAGTGGGAACCCTGTTTCCACATTTGCATATATTTGTTTCTATGTTGAGAACTCTTATTAGTTCTTCAAAAACGTTACATTAACATTATCACTCTCCGATGTTATGTCTATGATTCTTATGGGTATATATTCTAAGTTATTTCGTAAAATCTATGTTTCACGGAATCGGACGCGATAATTCTTTCATTTCACTTATTATTTCTTGACAATGGCAGGGTTTTGATGTGGAACTCATTGATGTCAATAGGACATGTAAGGTCACTAAGGTAATGCGGCTATCCCAATGGATTTCTCTTTCTTTTTTAATGGAGCTTGAATAAATAATTTCACAAATTATGGCTGAAATGTGATACAGGGAGGACAAGTTGTCAAGTATACTGCTTTGTTGGCTTGTGGGAACTATCACGGAGTTGTTGGTTTCACAAAAGCAAAAGGTCCAGCTATTCCCATTGCCCTGCAAAAGGTACAGGAGTCTGTTTATTATTTCACCATTCCATTTAAAGGCGTGTTTTCATTTTGATCAATGCCTTGGACTGGATGATTGGTCTTTCAGCAACTCTGCTAAAACAAGACTTTTGTTTTTAAAATGAATTGTGCAGACATATGAGAAATGCTTTCAGAACCTACATTATGTCGAGCGGCATCAGGAGCATACAATTTTGCTCAAACAACCTACAAAAAGACCAAGGTTGGAGTGTGAATTTTAGTCATTCTTTTGTTAAGCTTTTGTTTTCTCATACGCATAGCAAATGCATCGTGACTTTCTCTTTATGCCTACTTAAAAAAAGAGGAGTCTTAGTTTTCTGTTCATAAAGGGTAAAGTTTCTCTATTTTTCATTGTTTGACTCTTTGGTCTTGAACCTTTGCTTACTTGTACCTCAATGCATGTATATATGTGGCCCGCTCCTACTAAATAGGGATGGAAGCAGGTAGAACCGTCCAAACAATTTTGCATTTAGCCGGGTTCAGGAATGTAAAATCAAAGGTATTGTATTATAATTCTTATCAACCAGGTCACATAATGTTGAAATTTGGTGTTTGTTCTGTGCCCATCATTGTAACATCATACTCCGGCAGGTTGTTGGTTCAAGGAATTCACATAATACAGTTAAAGCTCTTTTCAAAGCTCTAAATGCGGTAAATCAAATGTTCTGCTGGCCAGGAGCGGTTCTGGACAATTACAACAGGTAAATATGTAGGCTTTTGTAGTTAATGGTTTGCCTAAAATATAGACCATGTGAGTCCTTTATACGATGTATTTAAGTTGAGCATGCATCCTTCATGAATACTCAGCTTTCTCTTTTGTAGTGTAGGTTTCTACAGTTAATTGAGAACCTTTGAATGACCGGCATTAACGATATGTAAAATAGAGCGAACACTTATCGTGAAGTCAACTGAAATATGCGATATTGAGCTGCAATTATGGACGATGTGTATATGAATTGGAAGTAAATTTCAGAAAATCTACTTTAGCTTTTGGCTTATCGCAGTTACCCAACCTTCTCTGTTAATCATGTTTCTGTGCATAAATATTGGTGGTCCCTTGCATAAAAGTTCATATATTTGTTTTCTGATTTAATTCTTTTGAATGCGATCGCTAAATTTAGTCTACAATAAATACATGTTTTTACTATATCATTTTTCTCCTTTGAAACAATCCGCGCTTCGCGCGGGTACGTATACTAATACCATTTAAGAACGGTTAACCTTTATAAATAAAAATGCTTCCTTTTATCAAAATTGTTGAAGAACTTCAAAAATCTTCTTTATTAGTATCTAAAGTTTATCTTTTCTATTGTTTATTATTATTGTTTCTTTAATGCCTAGCTCACTTAAAATAATAACTTATATGTCTTAGTCATATAATTCCAATTAATATAAGTATGGAAATCGCCTTATGCAGATTTTGAAAGGTATCTAATACGTTCCTTTTTTATTTAATTTGAACCCCTTTTAGCTATAATATCTTTTATATTAACTTTTTAATATTTAATATTTTAAATTAATAAAATTTTACCTATTAAATTATTATTTTTTTAAAATATGCATGAAGGTTTAATAACTAATTTTATAAGAATTCCCTATATTGGCAATACATTACCACTCAATAATGTCAATACCAGAAAAAAATAAAAGTAATGTTAAATAGATTGCATAAAGATTTGAAATTGAGAAACAAAATATCCCCATGATAATAGATTTTTATATTATATTTGAACTGATTTTCTACTCAAATAATATTTTACTATTATTAAATATAAATGTCACGACCCGGATTTTCCACCCTCGGGAGTCGTGATGGCGCCTACTAGTGAAAGCCAGGCATGCCAACCTTTTTGAATTATTTACCTTTTTCACCCTTTTTAATCTTTCAACAATTAAGAGCCAACATTATATAACAGTGGAAATTTAAAAGCGAATGACTGAAACGTAGTATATTAATAAAGATGCCACTACCAATCCATACATAAACTACCCAAGACTGGTGTTACAATTTCATAGACTATCTAGGAGTACTACAAATAAAGGTCTTAAAGAATTATTACAATACTGTCTCTGAAATACATGAAATAAATAGAATAAAAGGATAGAAGGAGACGCCAAGGCCTGTGGACGCCGGCAGGACTACCTCGGATTTCCAGATGGACAAAAAGCAACAACCCTGTCACGACCCAGATTTCTCACCCTCGGGAGTCGTGATGGCCTACTAATGAGAGCTAGGCAAGCCAATCCTTAACTGCTTACATCGTTAATGATTACTTCTTTTAACAATTATCAGCGATAGCATGAAAGTAATGGAATTAAATAAATAAGCGGAAGACATAAATTTAATGAAACTGAACAATAGTGCGAGAATCAACATATGCCTCTACCTAAGAACTGGTGTCACATTACTCACGAACTTCTAAGAGTGCTAAATACAACCGTTTGAAAGAAAATATAAATTGTTTGTCTCGAATATATGAGATAACAGACGTAAATAAAAGATAGAGGAGACGCCGGGCCTGCGAACGCTTACAAGGCTACCTCAGTGTCTCATTGGACTGAAGGCTGGCTCCCGCGCTACTGCTGCTGTCCAAAACCTGGATTTGTGCAAAAGGGCATAGAGCGTAGTATCAGCACAACCGGCCCCATGTGCTGGTAAGTGTCTGGACTAACCCCGACGAGGTAGTTACGAGGCTAGGACCAGACTCCAGATAAACCTGTACAATTATATAATATATGGCAGAAAAGTAAACAAATAATAAGCAGTTAAAGGTGGGGAAGGGGAACATGCTTCGAGGATAGCAGTTAAAAGAAATAACGGGGAATAATAAGGAAGCTAGCACTATAACTTCTATCACAAATGAATAAAATATAGGCAACTTTCACTTTCAGTTTCCTCTTGTTGCAGGCGTGCAACCCGATCCGATTTCTCATATCTCGTGGGTAGGTGTACCACTCGCTCCCATTTCATTCTATCTCGTGGTAGGCATACCATCCGCTCCCATTTCATTATATCTCGTGGTAGGCGTACCACCCGCTCCCATTTCATAATATTTTGTGGTAGGCTTATCACCCGCTCCCATTTCATCAATCTTGTGGTAGGCGTACCACCCGCTCCCATTTCATAATATCTTGTGGTAGGCGTACCACCTGCTCCCATTT